ATAAGCAAATTGAAGGGGATCCAGATGTGGTCTGACAATGGGTCGCAGCTGAGACACGGGGATATGACTAACTGGGGAACACAGGGGATGCATGAACCTGGAGCACAGAGACAAAAGTAACAAACTGAGAAACATGGAACACAGAAAAATGACACAGAACTGAACATAAATGACAGACTACACAGAGAGGTACAAATGAGAACAGATTAAATGAACAAGAATAACCAGAAATACAAATGATTAAAGCAGGAAGAATGAGGAAACTAAACAATACTAAAATGACAAAATAAGAAAACTGGAAACACTGAGTCATAGACCCAGTAAAGTGACACTATGGGAACCCAAGTCATTTCCCAAATAAGTAGTTTTGGTTTCTAACAACACCAAGTAGCTAATGTCTAAACTTAACAGTACTCAGTGAGTAAATACAAAAATATTCCAGACAAGACTCAAACTTCAGTCTTCTGAGTGAAAGTCAGGTGTGTTTATACAACTGCTCCTCTACATCCTGTTGTAAACTTTTAAGACACTGCAGGGAAAGTTGAAGTAAACTCTTGTCTCTAACAAAAGCTACAAAAGGCTCATGTTATATTTAAAACAAGTGAGAAGCTGGAAAAAGAAAAAGGCGATTTGCTCATCAAAGACCTGGATGAGAGCCATGTGACAGGAACTGCACTTGAATATTTATTCTGTGATAACCAATCAGATGCATTTGACAGTGAGGTGTAAACGGTCCATGTTACCCTCTACACTGACTGAAATTTCTACAAGGTCACTAAAAAGAGAGAATACCAACATGAATGCGTTGTGGGTCATACTGCTTCTTCTTCATCGAGGATGTAAGTGCTTTATTATTTTATTAACGTTATTTTCAACATATAAGTACGTTGGCTTTATCGTTCACTTTTACCTGGTGCTTTCCTGCATCATTGCGATTTAATGTTTTAGATTTTGTATGTTTTCTTTCAAATTAGACACACTTATTCCAGTAACTACAGTTCAACTCGGTGAACCTGCAACTTTACTATGTGACCTGCCTAAGACCGTGTACAGCCGTAGAGTCGACTGGTACAAGCAGAGTCCTGGAGACACTCTGCAAAGGATTTGGACAGTGAAGGACTCTGCAGCAGCTGTCTTTGCACCTGAGTTTGACAACTCAAAATGGGATGTTAAGTATGACAAGAATTTGAGCAAACTGACCATTTTGAGGACAAACCAAGAGGACGAGGGAATGTATCACTGTGGATTCACAGCGTGGCTCCAAGATACCAAATGGACTGCGACATATTTGTTAGTAAAAGGTAATAATGTGATTCTGCTATAAAAGTTTGCTTCAGCAGCTAAAACTTTATCACATAAATACTAAGGAAAGTAATTTATCAATGAGCATGTTTATAAAAAAAAAATCACTAAACTTTCAATTTAAATATTTTCAAATTTTATTAAATTTACCTTTAACCTCCTAGGACCTGGCATCCACATATATGGACATCACATTTTGGGTTATTAAACCAAAATACTAAATTTTGCTCTACAAGGGCCTGATATGCACTTACGGGGACATCATACTGCTACTGTTCTATCAAAATTTAAATGAATATCCTCATATGTGGCACTCATTTTTTTAGGAACAAAAATTAGATAAAAAAAAAAATCTGGTAATTCTTTGTTTTTACATTCATCAGGTCCCAATCAGCCCAAATATCAAAGAGAAATTAAAAATGCATGCCGTGGAAGAGTTCGGGTCTTAGGAGGTTAAAATACATTTGATCTATTTTTTTTAAATGTTTCCAGTGATCCTTAAGTGAAATATACCTTTTAACTAACATATGTTAAAACTATTGTTCTATTTATTTTGACAGGAAACACCCAGAGAACATCGAACTATTCTGTTGTTCAAGAGAAGATAGCAACTCCAGGAGACTCAGTCACTCTTCATTGTTCACTCCTCTCTAATTTTGATAACAAGACGTGTTCTGGAGGTCTCAGTATGTTCTGGTTTAGAGAAGGATCAAATCCATCTCATCCTAGCATCATCTACACTGATGGAAACAGACATCATGAATGTCAGAAGAGCGCTGCGACTCAGCAGAGTTGTGTTTATCAGTTCAATAAAAGTATTAGCGCCTCAGACGAAGGGACTTACTATTGTGCTGTGGCCACGTGTGGGAAGATATTGTTTGGAAAAGGAACTAAACTTCAAGGTGGTTTCATTTATCTGTTTCTTAGAATATCAGAAAAATAAGTGCCTTTTGTTTCACGTTCATAGTGATTTCATAGAAGGTAAAATTTAAAAAAGGTAATATTGTAATTTATATTGTCCTTAAATTTGTTTTATTTTTTACCTTTAATTTAGTTGCAGAATGCAGCGTGAGGTCACAGAGTGCCACTACAGTTATTTTTCTGCTGTGTCCCGTCTTGGTTGTGATTGTTATTGCTGTCCTCGCTTACACAATCAAGAAAACCAACAGTGATTATGGCAAAGGTAATCAAAGTTCATAGCTGTCTGTGAAGTTAACAAAACGTATGAATGTTACATTTCTAATACTTATTTATATATTCTATATTCAAGCTACTATCCTGGAGAAAAACTCTGGTGATTTCAAAAGACAACAGGTAAAGTAAATAATGGTACATCATGTTGTGTTCATTCAAAAATGACCTTTTCATTAGGACTCATCACAAAAGCTGAGCTAATATGCCTGGAATTCATATTCTAAAAAAAAAAAATTTGTGCATTACTTTGACAATAAGCAATAATCAGATGAAACATTACAGACTGCTTTGGGTCAAAGTTACCATGAACATTTGCTTTGAAACAATTGAAATTTTTTATACAGTCACAGAAGATACCACTTGCTGTGTTCCCTGTCAAAAGTGACCAGAAATATTTTATTTTTGTATGGAGGAAATTTTCCCCAAACTGCACTTGCGTCTGACACGGCTTGTGACCAAGAGAGGAGATTAAGAAATGATCATATTATGTCCCTTGACACCTCCATTCAGCCTTAACTTGTCCCGGCATCACATGTTGTCAATTTCTTTATGCTACATTTAAACTGTTTGCTTGACATATACTGTCTGAAAGGTCAGCATCCCCTAAAGTGACCAGATTCACATCCACTGTG